CTCCTCCTCCCCCCCCCTGACGCCTCCTCGTGCTCACCCTCCTCCTCCTCCTCCTCCTCCTCGTTCTCCTCCTCCTCATCCTTCTCGCCCTCCTCATCTTCTAATCATCAGTATCCACCTCGTCATCCTCTCAATGTCCTTCCTACGTCTGTTCAACAGCCTCCTTCTCTCCCTCCTCCTCCACCACCTCCTCCTCCTCGGTCTCGCCATCTATCATCAGCATCATCATCATCATCATCATCATCATCATCATCATCATCATCATCATCATCATCATCATCATAATCCCCATCATCAGCAGCACCATAATCACAATCAGCATCATCAAAAAAATGATCCTCGTCACCCTTCTGCTTCCCCCATCCTCCGTCGTGTCCTCCCGTTCCTCCTCTTGCTCCTCGTAGGTGCTCGCCTCATCGTCCCGCCTGCTCATCTCCCCTCCCCGTCGCACAAGATCCGTCCCCTCCAATACCTCATTCTCATCCTCCTCCTCCTCCTCCTCCTCCTCCTCCCCCTCCCCCTCCTCCTCCTCCTCCCCCCCCCCCTCCCCCAACAGCTCTAGCACCTCCTCATGTTGCGTGTGCTCCTCCTCCTCCTCCTCCTCCTCCTCTTCGATCCTCCTCTTCTCAGCGACGCGCCGCCACTCTCGCCAGGTCATAAGACGCCACGGGGCGGCGACGGCGCGTGCGGCAGAGAGAGAGCGAGAGCACCCCTCGCGGCTTGCGGCCGCTGGACACCTGCAACTCCGAAAGCAGTTGGAGACAGAGGGGTGACAAAACAGCTAGCAGTGGAAGTCGTACTATCAATAATACGGGTCCGAGTTGTAGATAGTGATAGAAGTAGTAGCAGAAGTAGTAGCAGTAACAGTAAAAGCGGAAGTAGCAGTAAGAGTAGCAGTACTGGTTGTAGTTGTAGTAGTAGTAGTCGTAGTAGTAGTAGTAGTAGTAGTAGTAGTAGCAGTAGTAGCAGTAGTAGCAGCAGCAGCAGTACTAGTCGTCAAAGTAGTAGCAAGAATAGCCGCCGTAAGAGTATAGTAGTAGTCGTAGTAGTAATAGTAGCCGCCGTCTGGGTAATAGCAGGAATAGTAGAAGAACTCGCCGTCGTCGTCGCCGTAGTAGTCGTAGTCGTAGTAGTCGCCGTGGTCGTAGTCGTCGTCGCCGCCGCCGTCGTCGTCGTCGTCGCAGCTGTAGTACGGGTGGAAGTGGCAGTGACAAAACAAAACGTAGAAATCATAACACTGTTAATAGCAGCCGTGGTGGTAGCCAAAATGAAACTAGTAGTAGTAGCCGTATTAGCAGTAGTAGTAGTAGTAGTAGTGGTAGTAGTAGTAGTAGTAATAGTGGTAGCAGTAGTTGTCGTAGTTGCAGTAGTAGTAGAAGTACTACTACTACTACTACTACTACTACTACTACTACTACTACGACTACTACTACTACTACTACTACTACTACTACTACTACTACGACTACTACTACTACTACTACTACTACTACTACTACTACTACTACTACTACTACTACTACTACTACTACTACTACTACTACTACTACTTCTACTACTCGTAACAATGATGGCCGATGCCGTACTAGTACTAGTAGTCATAGCAGTAGTAGTAGTAGTAGTAGTCGTAGTAGTAGTAGTAGTCGCCGTAGTAGTAATAGTAGTAGTAGTCGTAGTAGTAGTAGTAGTACGTAATAGTGGTAGTAGTGGTAGTAGTAGTAGCAACAGTAGAAGTAGCAGCGATAATAGTAGTAATGGAAGTAGCAACAGTAGAAGTAGCAACAGTAGAAGTAGCAACAGTAGAAGTAGCAAATGGAAATAGTAGTAGTGATAGTACTAGTAGCCGTAATAGTAGTATTAAAAGTAGTAGTAGTAGTAGTAGTAGTAGTAGTAGTAGTAGCCGCGGTAGTAGCAATAGTACTACTACCGCTACTAGCCGGAGTAGTAAAACTTGTAGTCGCAGTAGTAGTAGCAGTCGTAGTAGTAGTAGTAGAAGTAGTAGTAGGAGTAGTAGAGGTAGTAGTAGTGGCAGTAGTAATAGGAGTGGTAGCAACAGAAGTAGAAGTCGGTATAATAGTAGTAGTGGCAATAATAGTAAGAGTTGTAGTTGTAGTAGTAGTACTAGTCAGTCGTCGCTTTGGTGCGATTCGTACTAGTAGTAGCATTCGCACGGGTAGTACTACTACTAGCACGACTAATCATAGTATGACGGGTACCCCTACTACTCCCACGACTACGACTGATTATATGACAATTACTACGACTACGACTAGTCCTACTACTCTTACTAACACTACATCTACGACTACTACTACCACTACTACCTCTACTACGACTACTACTACTACTACTACTACTACTACTACTACTACTACTACTACTACCACTACCACTACTACTACTACTACTACGACTACTACTACTACTACGACTACTATTACTACTACTACGACTACTACTACTACTACTACTACTACTACTACGACTACATAATAGATAATACGCATTCTTCTTCTACTACTTCCACGACTACTACTACAACTACGACTACTACTACCACTACTACTACTGCTACTACTACTACTACTACTACTACGACTACTACTACTACTACTACTACTACTACTACTACGACTACTACGACTACTACTACTACTACTACTACTACTACTACTACTACTACTACTACTACTACTACTACTACTACTACTACTACTACTACTACTACTACTACTACTACTACTACTACTACTACTACTACACTACTACTACTACTACTACTACTACTACTACTACTACTACTACTACTACTACTACTACTACTACTACTACTACTACTACTACTACTACTACTACTACTACTACTACTACTACTACTACTACTACTACTACTACTACTACTACTACTACTACTACTACTACTACTAACTACTACTACTACTACTACTACTACTACTACTACTACTACTACTACTACTACTACTACTACTACTACACTACTACGCTACTACTACTACTACTACTACTACTACTACTACTACTACTACTACTACTACTACTACTACTACTACTACGACTACTACTATTAGTTCTACCAATACTACTACTACTACTACTACTACTGCGACTACTACCACTAGTTTTTCTACTACAACTGCTATTACTACTACTACCACTACTACTAGTACCACTACTGCCAGTACTACCCCTACTACTATTAGTAATGGTGGTGATAGTAGTAGCAGTCATAACCAGAATGGTAACGTTAAGAATATTACGAGGAGGAGAGGGAGGAGGAGGAAAAGGAGGAGGAGGACGAGGAAGGGGAGGACACAGACGACGAGGAGGAAGAGGATAACGAGGAGGATAACGCGGAAGAGGAGGAGGAAGTCGGATAGGCCAGGTGGAATCAAAGGGGGGGAAGAGGACACAATCCGGCACGAAGGCCGGCCGCGCGGGCGTGCCCGTAGTTGCGCGCGACGCCCACGTTCTTGGCCACACTGTTCCTTTTTGGGGGGGGGGGCGGCGGCGGGCTCCGAGGCCGAACCGCGGCAACAAACCCGTCCGCTCAGAATCACATGGTCACCCCTCTGCTCCTGGAGGAATGGGATGAGTAGGACGGGGAGGAGGCGTACGATCAAAACCTTCAAAAAGGATGCGTGGTAAGGGTGCGAGGGCCTTGGAAAGCCGTTTGGCGTTTTTGTTTGAAAAGGGCACGTCGAAAAACCGAAGGGAACACGGGTACGTATCTAATGTACCCCCGACCTTGCCGAACTGGCGCCTGGGCCATAAGCCAGACCAACGCAGGGACTTAAGGGTGCCCTTGAAGGTCGTCGCGTGCCTGCGGGCACGGCGCCTACCGTGAAAGGCATGTATGGGCGGCAACTACTTCAGCGGCAACGATGCGCATGGGCGCCCTGCCTGGCCCGCTCCCTCGTGCGCTGCTCCCCGAGATGCGCGACGCTGCGCACACTGCGGCGGCAACGATGCGCCAGGGCTCACTGCCTGGCCCGCATCCGTAGGTGGGGCCCCCGAACTGCGCGACGCTCTGCACAGCACAGATGCAAGGATTCGCAGGAGCACCATGCCTGGCCCGCATCCTTCGGTCGCGCCCCCAAGTGCGCGACGCTGTGCGCAGCGCGGCGGCAAGGATGTGCAAGAGCGCCTTGCCTGGTCCGCACCTGCAGGTGGTGTCCCCAGTTGCGCGACGTCACGCACAGCGCAGCGTCAAGGATGCGAGAGGGCCCCCCGCCTGGACTGTATCCTCATTGGCGCCCCCCCCGCCGAGGCCCGCTCACATCTTGATGGAATCATCCCTCAGGCGGTCCCACGCCTCTAACTTCGCAAAATGTGTCCAGGATGGGGGATGCTAAAGAGTCAAAGGGAACACCAGAAAGCAAATCGCATCGAACCATCGGACACTTCAGAGAAGCCAGGAACAAACAAACAACATATCGCGCAGGTGACCCACCAGCGGGTGGTTCACAGCGCTGAGAGAAAAAAACACTGCTTCAATTGCACTCTGGGCATGTACATGGGTTATTGCATTACTACTCCATGCGCTTCCCTTGTGCAGCGCGCACTGCACAAGTGACCCACCAGCGGGTGGCTCGCCCGAGAAACTGGTTGGGAAAAACAAGTGTTTCACTCGAATTCCGGGCCTCAACACGTCTTAGTTCACTCCTACTCCATGATCTCCTCCTGTGCAGCGCGCACCGCACACGTGACCCAACAATGGATGGGTCACCAGGAAACTCGCTGGGGGGGGGGGGGGAAACAACGGTTTCGCTTGCCTGAACCAGTGCATACCTACTACATACCCTGCCCCTGTGTAGCGGGCCGCGCAAGTGGCACATCAGCAGGCGGGCCATCCGAGAACTGGTTTAGAACACCGATAGTTTCACTTGCATTCTGGGCCTCAACATGAGTTGGCGCATTCCTGCTCCATACGCTTCCCTTGTGCAGCGCGCGCCGCACACGTGACCCACCAGCGGCTGGGTCAATCGAAAACTCGTTGAAAGAAAAACCACTGCTTCCATGCACCCTGGGCATCAATATGAATTGGTGCACTCCTGATCCACACGTTTCCCTTTCTTTAGCGCGGGCCGCACAGGTGGCCCACCAGAGCGCGGGTCACCCGAAAACTGGCTGAGAAAAACCGATTGCTGCACTTGCATTCTGGGCCTCAACGCGAGCTGCTGCATTCCTACTCCATACGTGTCCCCTGCGCAGCGCGCGCCGCACAGGTTAATTACCCACCAGCGGGTGGGTCACCCGAAAGCTGGTTGAAAAAACATAGCCTCTCGATTGCATTCAGGGCATCAAACTGAACTTGTTCACTCCTACTCCATACGCTCCCACTGAGCAGCGCGCGCCGCACAGGTGACCCACCAGCAGGCGGGTCACCGGGTCATCTAAAAACTGGTCGACTAACACAGTTCTTTCACTTGCATTCAGGTCATCAAACTGAGCTTGTGCACCCCTGCTCCATACACTTGCCGTGTGCAACGCGCAACGCAAAGGTGAACCACCAGCGGGCGGGTCACCCGAAAACTCAATGAAGAAAACCCTTGTCGCACTTGCATCGAGAACATCTACATGAGTGGGTTGGTGCATCTCTACTCCATGCGTTTTCTCTGTGTAGCGCGCACCGCACAAGTGACCCACCAGCGGCTGGGTCACCCTAGAAATTGGTTAAGAAAAACACTTGTGTTGATCGCGCTCGGGGCATCCATATGAATTGGTGCACTCCTGCTCCACACGTCTCCCCTGTTTTACCTCAGGCTGCACAAGTGGCCCACCGGCGGGAGGGTCACCCGAAAACTGGTTAAGAAAAAACGATTGCTTCACTTGAGTCTTGGGGCTCAACGCGAACTGCTGCACTCCTGCTCCATACGTTTCCCGTGAGTCTTGGGACTCAACGCGAACTGCTGCACTCCTACTCCATCATTACTTTTCCCGTTCTATAACGCGAGCCGCACAAGTTACCCACCACCCACCAGCGCTGGGTGGGTCACCCGAAAACTCGTCACGGTAAAACCGATCGTTCCACTTGCATTCAGGGCCTCACCATTAGTTGGTGCATTCCTGCTCCACACGCTTCCCCTGTATAGCGCGTGCCGCACAGGTGACCCACCAGCGGGTGGGTCACCCAGAAACTCGTTTGGAAACAAGCGTTTCATGTGCAACCTGCGCATCCACAAGCGCTGAGAAGGAGAGGAGGAGGAGGAGGAGGAGGAGGGCGGAGCAGGCACGGAGGGAGGAGGGGGAGGGGGAAAAGGAGGAGGAGGAGGAAGAAGAGGAACAGAGAAGGAGGGAGGAGGGAGGGAGAAGGGAAGGAGAAACGAGGAGGAATAGGAGGAAAGAGGGGGGAAGGAGGGAGACGAGGACGGTGAGAAGGGAGAGACGGCAACAACGGGGCGCAGGATGGCCAAAAGTGCCTGCACATCCAGAATCCTCAGGGCCGCGCCCACCCGTGAGTGGGAGAGCAAGGAAGACGTGCGCAAGAATGAACAGAAGTGCCGTCGCCGTCGCGCATTCTTGGGACCGCGGCCCCTCGCGAATGGAAGGACAGCAAACATACAGGCGGATGATGGCCGAAGGTGCCCTGCCGATCCAGCATCCGGAGGGCCGCTTTCCAACCGTGAGTGGGAAGATCACGTGCCCAAGCGTGAGCAAAAGCAGCCTGCCCGTCGCGCATCCGTGGGGCCGCGGAAAGACGGCAAAAATGGGGCCCGCGGATGGCCAAGGGTGCCCTGCCCATCGTGCATTCCTCGAACGCGCTTCTTAATTTTTGGCGAAAACGGGCGTTATAGGGGGGTGGAGGGGGAAGGGCGGGGGGGGTATAATGTCACGCCCCCCCCCCAGCCGTATGGCTCCGGCACCACAGCCGCGCCCGCGCGCACGACGACGATGAGCGACGAGCGACGAGCGACGAGCAACGAGCGACGAGCAACGAGCGCCGAGCGACGACGACGACGACGACGACGACGCGAGCAGCATGTAGGTGGCGACCTGCCCGCAGCGCCCGTGTACAACACAGTGTTCGCGTGCACCTAGCGCGCGTGTGCACCACAGTGCCTGCGTACACCGCAACAGCCGTGTGCGACGCAGCGCCTGTGTACACCACAGTGCGCGCGTGCACCACAGCACTGGTGTACCCCATAGCGAACGTGTAACAACGCAGTGCCCTGTGTACACCACAATGCTTGCGTGCACCGCAGAGAATGTGCACACCACAGCGCCTGTACACCATAATGCTCGCGTGTACCACAGCGCGGGTGTACACCAGAGTGCCTTCGTACACCGCAGCAGCCGTGTGCGACGCAGCGCCTGTGTACACCACAATGCCTGCGTGCACCGCAGCGCCTGTGCACACCACAGCGCCTGTCTACACCACAGCATTAGCGTGCACGCAGCGCTGGTGTTCACCGCAGTACCTGTGTGCACAGGACGGGTAGAATGAGCATGCATGTGAGGATTTGCTGTGGACAGCAAAACGCCACGCCAGAAAAGTGCTGATAATAGAATGCGAGGTTCTTCCCTCCTCCCACCTCCCCCACCTCCACCTTCACCTCCTCCTGATCCTCCTCCTCCTCCTCCTCCTCCTCCTCCTCCTCCTCCTCCTCCTCCTCCTCCTCCTCCTCCTCCTCCTCCCTATGCGGATCCCCATGAGATTCCCAATGCGGACCAGGCTCCGCTGCGGACTTCTATGCGGACGCCGATGGAGATCCGGACGCGCACGGCGGCAGTGCCCGGAGCGCACTGGGGGGGGGGGGGGGGGAAACGTTACGGTATAGGGTTGCAGGGGGGGCCGGGGGCTATAATGCTCATTATGCCCCAAGCAATAAAAAATTACCCCAGTGCGACCCTACCTAGAAGTTGGAGCCCCTAGGAAAGCAGCATTAGTTGCTATGGTATGCTATGCTATGCTATGCCATGCTGTGCTGCGCTATGCTATGTTATGCTATGCTGTGCTATGCTGCGCTATGCTATGCTATGCTATGATATGTTATGATATGTTATGATCAGCTATGATAGGTATTGCTGCGCTGTGCTATGCTAAGCTATGCTAAGCTATGCTATGCTAAGCTGCGCTATGATATGCTATGCTATGCTATGCTAAGATAAACCTGAGCTAAGATGAAGCTAAGCTAAGCTAAGATTACATAAGCTTAGCTAAGATCAGATAAGCAACGCTAAGCTAAGAGGACGAAACTGGGGGAACCGCGGGGCGGATACTGGGGGAACCGCCCGGCCCGGTCCCCGCTGCCCGGCCCTTTAAGCCAAGAGAGTAAGAACCCTTCTAGGCAGAGCCTAGGTAGGGAATCAACAGCATCATCATCATCAGCAGCAGCAGCATCATCACTATGAGCACCCGCACCTGCATCACTAAGCTAAGATAAACCTGAGCTAAGATGAAGCTAAGCTAAGCTAATATGAAAAAAGCTAAGCTAAGATCAAATAAGCAACGCTAAGCTAAGAGGACGAAACTGGGGGAACCGCGGGGCGGATACTGGGGGAACCGCCCGTCCCGGTCCCCGCTGCCCGGCCCTTTAAGCCAAGAGAGTAAGAACCCTTCTAGGCAGAGCCTAGGTAGGGAATCAACAGCATCATCATCATCATCATCATCATCATCAGCAGCATCATCACTATGAGCACCCGCACCTGCATCACTAAGCTAAGATAAACCTGAGCTAAGATGAAGCTAAGCTAAGTTAAGATGAAATAAGCTAAGCTAAGATCAGATAAGCAACGCTAAGCTAAGGGGACGTAACTGGGGGAACCGCGGGGCGGATGCCGGGGGAACCGCCCGGGGCGCGTTCCACTGCCCGGCCCCTTTAAGCAAAGAGAGTAAGAACCCTTCTAGGCAGAGCCTAGGTAGGGAAATACTCGCTCTTCTTAGGCTTGGCCCACAGGGGCAACGCGCCGCGCAACCGAAGGATGCAGCCCGCCCCAAGGGTATCCTGAAGGGCTTGCCAGCGGTAGTTGCCGAAGATGGGCCAACTAAACAAGGATGCAATGGTAACCTTGAAATGTTGCTCATCCGAACCATCAGTTTTGACAGTAGCAGGAGGAATGGGGGGAGGAGGCGAGGGACGAGGGCTTCAGTCGATCCACAAGACTGTCCGCAGTCACGAGGAGGCGGGGGAGGAGGACGAGGAGGAGGCCGAGGAGACGAGGGAGCAGGGGCTGGAGGAGAAGCAGCAGGTGGAGAGAGGAAGAGGTTGATGCCTCTAGACGTGCTCGCCTACTTCTCCGAGGGGCCCCCATTTCATCAAGGCTCGGTCCGCCCGAGGGTCTCAGAGGCATGGGCGGGCCATGCGGTCGACCGCTCTGGAGCAGGGCAACGTTAGATCGAGGATCGAGGAGCTGGAGGCGGAGAAGGGTCCTGAAATCCTTGCCACTCAATATTTTCGCGCCGGGCGTTTCGCCCGGTTTCGGGCCCCAGGACCCTCACAAATCGATCCAACTCGAAAAACGGCGCAGACATGGGGTCTGGGGCACCAACCGTGATACTTCACGGTGTTGTTTTTTCCGCTACGTCGGTCTCAAGGGAGGAGAAGCTGGAGCTATGGCGTCGGTTTGCATGCGAAGGTTTGCATCCCGCTGCGCCCCCGCACATTACGCGTCCAGGCTTTGAAAACTGGACAGCGTACCCGAATGAGAGGTCAAGGTCGGTTTGGAAGGGCTGCGCCTTGTCCGAGAACCCGCAACTATGAAGGGCCGCCTTTGCGCATGTTCCGGCGAGGGCGCCCTTCAGAAGACACACTCGATGGCCCAGGCTCCCGTCGGTGACTGCGCCCTCTCCATTCATCGAGGTGCGCAGGCCTCCCTCCCATTCCGAGGGTGCGGCTCCCCTTGAGTTCGACAATGCTTCTCTCCGTTTACACATCTCCACCCCGAGACCCCAATCCCCTCCCCTACCGCACCTCTTCCCCATTCTACTCTTCACCCTCCCCTTCAACCCCCTTCCTCCACCCTCCCCCCTCTCCTCTTCCCACTCCCCGAATGTCAGGATAAGAGATGAGCGACAAAGGAATTCGCGACAAATGCCGACCGTTTTGTCCCTAACTGGTCTCCTGGGCTTGTCCGAGAGGAGGCAACGACGACACTGAGCCGGCAAGACGTACGAGTCGGGGACGTACGATGGCCCGCGGCTCCTACTCCTCCTCCTCCTCCTCCTCCTCCTCCTCCTCCTCCTCCTCCTCCTCCTCCTGCCAGAAGAACCGTGGCGTCAGCCAAATACATCATCATCATCATCCTCACTTCTGCCCTCCTCCTCCTCCTCCTCCTCCTCCTCCTCCTCCTCCTCCTCCTCCTCCTCCCCCTCCTCTCCTCCTCCTTCTCGTTCTCCTCCTCCTTCTCCTCGTCCTCCTCCTTCTCCCCCCCCCCCCCCCTCCTCCTCCTCCTCCTCATCCACCTCCTCCCTCCTCCTCCTCCTCCTCCTATTCCTCCTCCTCCTCCTCTCCTGCTCCTCCTCCTCCTCCTCTCATCCTCATCCTCCCCCTCCTCCTCCTCGTCCTCCTCGTCCTCCTCTTCCTCCTCATCCTCCTCCTCGACCTCCAGACCCTCCTGTTGGTCATCATCATCCTCATCCTCATCCTCGTCCTCATCCATCATCATCATCATCATCATCATCATCATCATCATCATCATCATCATCATCATCATCATCATCATCATCATCATCATCATCATCATCATCATCATCATCATCATCATCATCATCATCATCATCATCATCATCATCAGCATCAGCATCATCATCATCATCATCAGCATCATCATCATCATCATCATCATCATCACCATCACCATCATCATCAGCATCATCATCGTCATCATCATCATCATCAGCAGCATCATCCTCATTACCATCATCATCATCATCATCATCATCATCATCATCAACAGCATCATCATCATCGGCATCATCATCATTATCATCATCTTGGTCATGATCATCATCAGCAGCCTCATCAAACATCATCAGCATCATCAGCATGAGCATCATCAAGATCATCATCGTAATCGTCATCAGCATAATCAGCATCGTCATCAGCAGTGTCATCATCTGCATCAGCAGCATCACCATCATCATCATTATCAGCATCAGCATTATCAGCATCAGCAGCATCATCATTATATTCATCATCATGATCAGCATCACCACGATCACCCGAACAAAGCATAAGCATCATCATCAGCAGCAGATTATTCGACTTCAGCAGCAGCTGCATGAGCATGCAGCATCATCATCAGCAGTAGCATCAGCATCCTGATCCTGATGATCATCATCAGCAGCATCCTCATCCTCACCGTCCCCATCATCATCACCATCCGCATCATCATCATCAGAAACATCATCAGCATAACCAGGATCATCAGCAGCATCGTCATGATCATCGTCATCGTCATCACAATCATCATCAGCATCATCATCGTCATCGACACCATCATTACAATCAGAAGCATGATCATCATCATCATCAGCAGCAGCATCATCAGTCGCATCATCATAATATTCATCAGCATCGTCAACGTCAACATCAGCATCCACATCATCATCATCACAGCCTCATCACCACGATCAGCATCATCATCAGCAGCATCATCAGCATTACCATCATCATCACTAGCAGCATCATCATCAGTCTCCTCGTCATCAGCATCATCATGATCGCGGTCGGTGTCATCGTCATCGTCATCGTCATCGTCGTCATCATCAGTATCATCATCCTCTTCCTCATGCTCATCCTCATTCTCGTCCGCCGCATCACCATCATAATCACCATCGTCATCACTATCATCATCATAAACATCGTCGTCGGCCGCATCAGCATCCGCATCATCATCATCGTCATCGTCATCACCATCATCACCATCAACACCACCACAACCATCCGCACAACCACTATAAGCAGCATCACTATCATCATCGTCATCATCATTAGCAGCCGTACAATCATCAGCAGCATCATCAGCATCAGTAGCATTACCACCACCAGCATCACAACAACCATCATCGTCATCACAATCGTCATCATCATCATCAGCAGCAGCAGCATCAACATCAGCATCATAATCATAATCCTCATCATCACCACCACCACCATCATCATCAGCAGCATCAGCATCATCATCGTCATCAGCAGCAGCATCGTCATAATCAGCAGCAGCATCATCAGCATCAGCACCATCATGTTCACCATATTCTTATTATTCCTCGCGTGCCCTTATTCAGCATGCTGTCGGTTGGCCACTGGCGTCGGTGACTCCTCGTGCCCCCCGTCCTCGCCCTTGGTAGACTGGCAACCGTGCTCTGGAGCGGGTTGGCAGCCGTACCCTTCTGCTTCCGCTCTTCCCTCCCTCCTCCGGATTTCCGCCCTCTCTCTCATGCTTTTGCTGCTGCTGCGAACCTCGTCCTGAACCAGGAACGCACTGGCAGCGCAGCGCGTGCCAGATGCGGGATTGAACGGGGAAACCACCCCGCAGCTGACGCGATGCAAGACGGGGAGGGGTCACGAGATACAAAGAACTTCGACTCGCTCGGCTCGGGGGGTCGCTCGGGGATCAGCCTGGCTGGGCCAGGGCTTCCGCTGACCCACAGAAAGAGAGCAGCTCCTGAACACGTTGCCTGCGGGCCACTCGGCGTAGGCGCCCCAAGCAGCGTAAGCGTCGTCGCCCGTGTTGGCGATGTAGCAGTCTGCCGTGTGCGGGACGGGGGTGAGGGGCGGGGGTGGGGCACAAGAACGCTCCCTCCCTCGGCCTCAGGAGGGGCAAGCAGTCGGCCTCAAGACGGGGGAGGAGGGAGGCAACGAGGAGGGGGAACGAGGGCGGGAGGAGCAAGGTGGGCGGGGGAGCGAGACGCCAACACCAGCAGCAACAACGAGTGGTGACTGATGGTTTGTCAGCACCAGGACGCAAGTGGAAAGCGCAGAGGATACCCTGGAACCACAACAGTTCTGGAACAGCATGTATACATACACGTGCCAACCGATGCAGAACTAGTTTAAGCTCATGTCATCTACATCCGCGGTCCCCCGGTATCAGTGAGCTAAAAACTAAACAGATGCTCAGGAGGGCGGACCAGGCACGAGCTTGCCAAATTCCCTCAAAAATAGGGCGAGTGAAACCTACGACGTGGAGCTGGAACCCTCTCTTTCCCCCATCGGTCGCGACTCCGACGACGACGACGACGACGCGGCCGCTCGAGACCAGGCCTTGGAGGAGGGGTCCTTCTGACGCTGAGACAAGGAGTCCTCGGCAGTGAGGCACATCGTGCCAGTCTTGAGGAGCTGGAACTGGACGTCATTCCCCGTGCTCGCACCTGCCTTTGTACTTACATCTATCGGCGTGAATGGGTGTGGCAGCCACCATGTTGTTCCTCCCAGACGCGACAGGCTTTCCCTGCAAATCGCGAGATCGATAGCTACCCAGCAGTCGATATTGGAGCCCCCCGCATTCCTGTCGAGGGCGTTGAACATCTCCGCTGCGTCTACGATGGCAACGCCCCACTCTGGCTCTACGTGCGCAGTTTCTCCGCGACATGAATGCGACGGGGGCCGCTCTATTACGCCAGCATTCGTCAACGACGAACACTGCGTCTTAGAACAAGGCTGCACTGAGTGGCTGAACCTCGCCCACTCAGTGTCGAGGGGACCTGTCCCCCCACCCTGCAAGAGCGCCAAACCCTGGAACGCTCCTGGAAAGCTCCCAATGAGATGCACTGCCAAGGTTGTGGCTACTCCTCGGACTTCCCCGTCATATCCCCCACAGTCGGATGCCATCGCAAACGCAGTCCTAACGAGTCGGTGCTTACATATAGCGATAGGTAGGCCAACTGATCCCCGCAAATAATCCACAATCTTGTCGGCGACCAAGGCGTCGCCCGTCGCCGGACACTTCGCCGCGCGAGCAAGCAGGGATGCCGCGCCGATTGCTTCTGGTCGCGTTTCGCGCCCCACCCAGCGCGTAAATCAAGGACACTCGTCCATCTGAGATCCTAGAAGTGGCAGCTCGCGCCGTGCTCGCATCTCACGCGGTACGTGTAGTCGCTTGATCTGCTCTAATCTGTGATCTTCTGGATCGATCAAGAGGCGGTCACCCATCCTCCGCAGCCCCCCCTCATAGACTCCACTCCAGCACTGTCAACAGGGCTTTCCAAACGCGAAACGTGCTTTGACCAGGCCCAATTGTTTCTCTTCAACCCCAAAATCTGTCGAGATCACCCAGTCGCCCACTTCTACGAGCACGATCGCGTCGAGGGTGCTCTTGCCTCTTTGGCCATCAAGCATGGTTATCAATTCGTCTTGACGCACCCGATGCTCTCGAAGAAGCGGGCCTCTTTTGGCCCCCAAGACGGCCCAAGAGGGCCCAGTCGCCCGAACATCGCTCCAAGACGCCCAAGATGGCCCCCAGACGGCCCAAGAGGCCCCAAAGACGCCCCAAGAGAGTTCCAAGACACCCCAGAGGAGGGCCCCGAGAGGCAAACATACTTGATGTTCCAGAGGTGTTTGAAAGAGTTGATCGTCCTCGCCTTATCGGGCACTCGACGCTCAAGACGGCCCAAGTGGCCTCCAAGATCACCACAAGGAGGCCTCCAAGGGGGGCTCCTACACCGCCCAAGAGGGCCCAAGACGCCCAACAAAGACGGGCCAGGAGGGCCCCAGGAGAGGCGCCAGAGGGGGAGCACGAATCGACATGTCGAGCTCTCATCCCCCAGACGACCTCCGAGACAGCCAGCAGGCCCCTGAGAAGCCAAGCGGACGCTCCAGGCGGCCGCCAAGACGCCCCCATCAGGCCTCCAGAGACCCTCAAGATGCCCCCGAGAGGCCCCAAAGCAACGCCAAGATCGTAGAGGCCTCTGGCCAACAACCAAGGCACGGTGGCGGAATGGGCCGAAACACCAGATGCATATGTGTATACCACCTGTATGTATGTATACATGTGTGTATGTATGTATGTATGTATGTATGTATGTGTGTATGTGTGTATGTATGTGTGTATGTATGTATGTATGTATGTATGTATGTATGTATGTATGTATGTATGTATGTATGTATGTATGTATGTATATATGTATGTATGTATGTATGTATGTATGTATGTATGTATGTATGTATGTATGTATGTATGTATGTATGTATGTATGTATGTATGTATGTATGTATGTATGTATGTGTATGTATGTATGTATGTATGTATGTATGTATGTATGTATGTATGTATGTATGTATGTATGTATGTATGTATGTATGTATGTATGTATGTATGTATGTGTGTGTGTATGTATGTATGTATGTATGTAAGTATGTATGTATGTATGTATGTATGTATGTATGTATGTATGTGTGTGTATGTATGTATGTTTGATGGATGGATAGATAGATGGATGGATGGATGGATGCATGCATGCATGCATGCATGTATGTATGTAGGTATGTATGTATGTATGTATGTATATATGAGAAAGCGCATTTCACGGGCGCTTACCTTGGGAACAATCGGCGGCCCGTTTCGAACCGGGGGGTGGGCCCCCCCCCACACTCGGCACCGTCGATCAAAACCAGGGGGACCCACCTCCCCCCCAAACCCCCCCCTTCCGAACCCCCCCCCCCCCCCCTCGGCGCCGGCGCCGGCGCTGGCGGCCACCAGCAACGCCGACGACAAAAATGCAGCGACGAGAACCAGAGGAAGCCGAAAGGGGGGGGGTCAAAACCCCCCCCCCCCTCCCTGGCGCCGGCGCCGGCGCCGGCGCTGGCGGCGGCCAGCAGCGCCAGCGCTGGCGCCGGCGACGGCGGGGACGAAGCGACGATTACCACCACTACCACCACAACCACCACCAACCCACCACACAACAACCACCACCACCACCATCACAGCCACCACCACCACAACCACCACCACCACAACTCACCATCACCACCACCACAGAAACCCACCACCACTACCACCACCACCACAATCTACCACACCACCACCACCACCGCCACAACCACCACCATAACCAGCAGCAAAAACCACCACCACCACAAACCACCACACCACCACCACCACCGCCACCACCACAAACCACCACCACCTCCACAAACCACCGCCACCATCATAACCCACCGCCACCACCACCACTACCACAAACCACCACCACACCACCACCAAACCACCACCAACACCACAACCCACCACCACCATCACCACCACAAACCACCACCACAACACCACCAAACTACCACCACCACCACCACCCACCAGCACAACCACCACCACCACCACCACCACAAACCACCACATCACCACCACCACAACCACTACCACCGCCACCACCACAACCACAACCCACCAACACCACCATCACCGTCGTCCTCGTCGACGCTCCCCGCCGCCGCCGCCCGCCGCCGCAGGCGCCGGCGCCGGCGCAGAAAATAGACGAGCGCGTTCCACTACTCGCAAAGTAGCTACTCGCAAATGGCCTGGATCCGCCGCAGGGGATCTACAATAAATTACATCAAAGCAGCCATGTGTTGTTCGGACGTTTGCAAGTAGGCACTTTGCGAGAAGTGGAACACGCTCGGCGAGAGAAGGAAATCGTCGTCCCCGCCGCCGCCGCCAGCCGCCGCCGACGCAGGCGCCGGCCCGAGGAGAGGGAGAGAAGAGAAGTAGGGGAGGGATGGGGGGAAGGGAGAGGGGGGGAGGTCCACCCCCCCCCTCCAAGCGACCACAGAACGCGCTCTTTCGTATGTCTGTATGTATGTATGTATGTAGGTAGGTAGGTAGGTAGGTATGTAGGTAGGTAGGTATGCCAACGTGCATATCTCTCTATATATATATATGTATAAATATATATGTATGTGTATGTGTACATTTATGTATGCATACATATACCCATGTGTGTGAGCTCTAGATACATGTGAAAACACCTACAAGTACCTGTGAATAGACATGTATAAATACATGCACACATACACACACCCACCTGCATCTACGCCTGGGGCAGAGCTCCATCGGCACAGGCCTGAGGCCGTTAGATGGGACACTGTGAAGGCCATACGCGGCGAGCGGCGAGGATTATGCGCTGCAGGACTTCGGGCTTACAGCATTGAACAAGAAAGCGTGGTTACTATGCTATGCTAAATTCTCCCCATCAGATGCGACTATGCCACAACGGCAACCTCAAGTTGGCCGAAGGCACCGCACGGGCATGACCACGCTGTGGTAACCGACCAGGCTCGGAGAAGTGAAGCTCGATTGGGAACATTCTGAACGCACAGGAGCCCCTCTGCGACGACCCCCCTGCATTCCATCCCACAGTAATGGGCCAGGGATGAGTATGCTGTGTTCGCTTTACAACATTGCCAGCGCGCCTTCCACGATGGAGTCCTGCACGTTCCCGTGCAGATTGATCCCGTCGCCGCGGGTGAACATTGACACGAGATTCGTGATCCTCACATTCTTGGTGACGCTGCCATCCTCGGCGAATTCGCAGAAGGATCGAAAGACAACAATCAGAAAGAGACACCGAATTAGAAAAAGACACCGAAAGACAACGATTACTAAGAGGCACCGAGGGGCCGCGAAGCACTGGACGAGAGAAAAAGCGATGAAGACAATCATGTTGATGATGTTCCTCCTGGCGAAGCTTACTCATCACATTGAAGATCAGATGAACAAGCCCTGGAAACACGCTGCCCGGGTATCAAGTGACAGATGGGCTGTGAAAGCTGTCAATCCCACCAGTCCTCTGCGCGTCGGTGGTTTAGAGCGTTTCCTCTTCCACCCCTTCTTGTTCCCCTTCTGTGAGGGGTTTACCCCTCCCCCTACCCCCTCCCCATGAACCTGGACAAGGGGTTTCGCGAGGTGTCGGAGCGTCCAGACCCCCCCCGGAGTCATACTCCTCACTCTCATCTGCTGTTGCGGGGTGCTGCGTCTGCGTAGTTTCCCACATGCCTCCGAGAGGCCTCATATCCGTTTCGGGGCGGCTCGAAGTGGCCACGGAGCTTCCCAAGAAGGCCCCCAAGTGGCCCCCAAACAGAGCCCTATAGGCTCTCGAGGGAGCCCCAAGAAGGGCTCCAAAGCGTCAACGTCGTCGTCGGCGCCGCCGCCGCCGCCGTCATCGTCGTCGTCGCCGTCCCATTCAGGGTCGGCGGCACCGGCCGTGAGGCCTTCCAATCCGACCCGTAGGGTGTCTGGCTAGAGGTCATTCACATAGCAATACTGCTTCCGAGTGCACCGTCTGCCTTTCCCAGACATGGCTCTCGAACAAGCAAGGTCCTGCGTCATGGCAACCCACACAGCTACCTTCGGGACGGGCGCAGCTCTCTGCATTCATCCCCTCAAAACCTCGATTGGCCAAGCCCCCCCACTCAGGATATCATTACAATTGTCACTCGGCTGTGCTAGACGCTGGGGCGCCAGCCAATGCAGCCAGCGAACGCAAATGACAAGTAAATGAATTCCAAAAGCGCAACTGCACGTACAAAGAAGCACTTCGTGGTTGTCTTGGCCTGCTGAGGTCCTGGTTCCTCTCTATGTCCTACCTCCTCCCTCTGAATGCTCCCTCTTTTGGGTTTCCCTCCACACCGCATCCCCCTCCACATTCTCTCCTTTCCTCCCTCCCGCGCATTCCTTGCCGCACGCCCCCGATAGATACCTCTTCTGCGTGATTCCACCGTGGCCCTTTCCCACACCAGAATCGCTCCTGCACTCCCCCATTCCTGATCCATCCTCGTTCCCTCGGACCCAGCCCCCGCCACTCCTCTCCCCTTTCCTGCTGTCACCCTCGCCCTTCCCCCCTCCCTCCCTGGACTATGGCATCCTCCGGTAATCCAGTTCGGTTGTGGGATAATCGACCCCTAACCAAAAAAAACCTGACTGCTCATGTTGGACATACATTGGCAACTCTCTGTCTATATTGTTATTCATAAGACACGTCTACATCGCAGAGCGAGGGGGGGCTGGGATGTGGTACGCCGCCCTTTGGCAAGAACCTCACCCCCGTTTATGACCGCCGCGACCGCCGCGGCGACCTCCGAAGCCGACCCGGAGGCTTGGTTCGGGATCTGATATTACTTACTCAACGACCCTGCTCCCCCACCGCCAGCCGACCCGCCTGGCTGCCCTGGGCGTGAACGAAGTCACCATCCTTCGGCAGCAGCAGGCCGTTGAGCCTCACGCTGTCCACCTCGCCCGGGAGGGAAGGTGGAGGAGAGAGAGGGCGGGGAGGGGGGGCTCGATCACATAGCCTTGCGCTTCGCGCAAAGCAGGGCGCAAATTGCGATTCGTCTTCGCGACCAGGAGGCCTAGCGATTAGGGTCTGAAGCGTTGGTTCTCCCCAGCCTCAAGCTACATTTGGTAAAGCACATCCTCCAATTCTTCGCCATGTGGCCACGGTTCTTCAAGCCGTGGACCACAGGACTCAGGTTAGCTACCACTAACGCATGAGTCTACGATGTAATACCCGTAGATACAGATGTCGACTACAGCACATCTCTACTGCAGTTCCATGTTCGTTGAGCTCGCAGTGAGAGGAGCTGGGCCGCGCGAGTGGACATCTGCGATCCCACTGGAGAAACTGAGCGAGAGGGAAAGACGTCTGCGTCGACCATCGCAACCCCTACAACATCGCAGATGACAGTCTGAGGCTGGCGCAGATGTTCACAAGATTTCGACGCTGATGAACCTGCGACATGCTATACTTGATACCGCGCTTGGGCAGCGGAGCTGCCACCAGATCACTGCAGAGCACCAACAAAAAGTGATGGACACACGGTGGCCTGCGACGACCCACAAGAAAGGATGAGACCGAGAAGGAAGCCGTCCCAAAACGCAAGGGGGGCGGCAATGATCTCACGTCTCAGGAGAGGAAGCGGAAGAAGGACAGAAGGACGCAGCGGGGAGGCGGCGGACAGCATGGGAGGGGAGGGGAGGGGCGGAGGGCATGGGAGGGGAGGGACGGGGGGGGGGGGGGCGGCGGACGTGCCAGACCCTCTGAACTGTGACCCGTTGGGTTGGTTCCCGCATGTGCGCGGCGCTTCTCCCTTCTGCGGATGCCTCCGACCTGTAGGCCCTACGGACCCTCGCAGCCAGAAGGTCCCGCGGGTAGCGCTCACAGGCACTGCCGTTGGGGGGCGCGGATGCCTGCAGGGAGGGGGGGCGTGCAGGCGTAGGCAGCGAGGGCGTCTAGGCGTGCCTATAGGCAGGAGAGGAGGGCGCCTATAGGCGGGGATAGCCTGAAGGCGCGCCTGTAGGCACGGAAAGGAAAAGAGTGAGGAGGAGGGAGTTCCTCTAGGCAGTGAACGGGAAAGTGCCAGCAGGCAGTGAAGGCCTGTAGGCGCGCCGGTGGGCAAGGAGGAGGGGGGTAAGAGCCTACAGAAAGGAAGGGCCTGCATGCCTGTAGGCAGGGAGGGAGGGAGGGAGGGATGCAGGGGAGGGAGGAGTGAGCGCGCGCGCGAGCCCGCCGTGCCCCTGTCTTAACGCGCGGCACTGGCATGCGCGCACCAAGGTGCACATCCTGAGTGTCCCGCAGCGCCCACAAGAAGAGCTCGGCCTGCACCGCTTCCAGGTGAGCCTCCATGGTCCATGGCGGCACAATATTCAATGAGGTGCTGGAGGCAACCCGCCAAGCCAGCGCACAGCGGGCACGCCTTGGGCAGTCGCTCCGTGGGCAAACCACAACCCCCGACTGAAATCTGGAGCGACACGCGCGACGCACCATGTACGGTGGAACCGCCACATGGTTCGCCCTCCAGACGCCCGCCTGAAGGCAGGGGGCTGATCGCAGTGTAACAGGAGGACCTCCGCGATGGGCAAGAGGCTGTCGCGGCCAAAAATCTCCTTCGCCGTGCTGGCTGGTGGAACGGCAGTGCCGCTTGGTGGTAAGCGAGCGGTTGCCCGGGGGCGTGCTGCACTGCTGCCAGCGGCATCGGCCCCGAGGGTACCGTTTCCACCTGGCTCTTCCGCGGTGAGGGCGGCGCAGCTGCGCCAATCCACGCCTGCGGTGGCGGCCCCAGCGAAGGGCCAGCGAGCGATCCGCCGTGCTGCCCTGTTGCCGCCGCCCCCGCTGGTGTTTAATCCAAACCATGGTGGCGAGCCTCTGGCATGTGGGGCGTGCCTGGGAGCGGCTGCGCTGATCGTCGCTGCGAACACCATCGTTCGCTGGAGCACGCCCCCGCGGCCAACACTGCGAGTCGTCGCGGTTGCGTACCAGCCTGGCTGTCCCCTCCGCGCCCTGCCCAGGGAAAAGGGTCGGCTGTCGGCTGAGGCAACGGGGCCAGGCCTGACCCATCCGCAGGGCTACAGAGACCCCCAGCGGCCCAGAAACAGGAGACCACGTCGGACCTCGTGGCGGGGCGACAACCTGTCGAGACGAACAAGAAAAAACGAGGAGGGTACAGCTTCTCCGTAGTAGGGCCCCGTGAAGCGAGGCTGGAGGGAGGGAGCGCATGTAGGCAGGGAGTGTTTTTGGGCGCGCCTGGAAGCGAGGAGGGAGGGAGCGCCCATAAGCAGGAAGGGTTTTTAGGCATGCCTGTAGGTAGGGAGGGAGGGAGCGCCTGTAGGCAGGGAGTGCCTGTAGGCAAGAAGTGCAATTAGGCGCGCATATAAGCGGAGAGGGAGTGAGTGCCTGTAGGCAGGAAGGGCTTCAGGCGTGCCTGCAGGCAGGGAGGAAGCACCTGCAGGCTGGGAATGACTTTTGGTGCGCCTGTAGGGCTTTGGTTCATGATAGCGTCCGACATACCTCCGAGAGGTCCCAAGACGGCCACAAGACGGCTCTTAGTGCCCTCGGAGACACCCCAAGAACTCCCCGAGGGGCAAAACTCGTCCCAAAACCTGAGCCAAATCAATTTGGCCCCTTTCGCCTCCAATCGGAGTCTGAGACCCGAAGAAGATGGACCCATGATGACTGCAGAGAGTCCCAAGGGGAGCCCTGGAGGGCCCCAAGACGGCTCAAGAGAACCTAAAAGGCCCTGAAGAGCACTCCAGGAAGGCGACAAGAGCAACGATTCGGCCTCCGATGGGGGGGACCCGAAATGCCCCCCTATGTTGGAAGCCATGGCCTCGGGTTCCTGCGCCGACCCAGAATGGACAACCTACCCGAAGTCGCGTCCCCCAGCGATGCGTTCAGGCCGATGCCCTTCCCCACCCTTCCAGCCAACGCGGCCCCACCATGCCGCTCGGCCGCCCAGGCTAGGAATGATTACAGTCGGGACCGATTGCAGAAAACACCGAGAGGACACGAGTCTCTTTCGAAGGCAATCCCAGGCTGAGGAGGGTATGAGACGCGACAGATAGGACACGTTTGTAAATAAACACTGATATTGCAGGGCCGACTGTTGGCTCAGACTCCCGAGCCCCCCGGGGCGTCCAAGACGCGGGCGTCCAAGAAAAGGGTTCGCACATCATGGCCCGAGGCACGTGCGCAGTCCAGGGGGTCCCAAGAACGCATTAAATTTAGAAGAGTGGCCACGACATCTGATGATATATCATGGCCCCAGCCATGATACCCCAACACTCTACAGTCCGATGGTTGATAGTGGCAACGTGGAAGCTTAAGGAGACGAATGAACATATCGCGTTGGGAAAACTATGGGTCCAACGTCTTGTGCTCAACCTCATTGCATCCGTAACCGCTTTAGCTCCAGATACGCGTTTTGAGAGTGCTCCATGGCGCGGGCGGATTCCACCTGCGGACCTTCGACCGACGACCAGACCGAGTGACCGACCGGCCGACCGTCTGAAACGACGACGACCGATGACGACCCATCGACCGACCGACCGACCGACCGCACCGATTACGATAGACGGACCGGCCGATCGACGGACCTAGACGACGACGACCGAAGACGACGGACCAGACGACGGACGACGGACAACCAGGCGAAGCGCCAAACAAAAAAACACATTCGCCAACGAAAACCTACGTGCAGCGCCGAACCCCTTGTTTCGCGGCACGCGCGGATCTTCGATAACTCTATACACATGCAGCTTCCGCCAGAAAGCCCACTTCGCTTCTCGCACCTCGAAAACGCTTCCCGTCATCCTCCAAGGAAAATGCCCGTGCGATCCGCAAGCCCATATCGATCGTTGTCATTATACGCTTGACAAATTCTCAACATTGCAGAACGACGTCCTCGAAATCGCGCCCCGTCATCCGCCGACGAAAACTCCCGTGCGACCCGCCACCCCATATCGCTTTTGTTCTTTATAAGTGTGTCAAGGTCCTAACACTGCAGCGCGCACTTCTCCTTCGAATTTCTCAAAGTCGCTTCCCGTCATCCACCAACGAAAACTCCTGCGTAATTCGCCAATACTAATCGTTTGTGTTATGTATACGCTTCTCCAGGTCTCAGCAACATATAGCGCCCTTCTCGTTCGAAATCCTCGAAATCGTTTCCCGTCATCTCCCGTGCGATCCGCCACCCCATGTCGCTCGTATGCCTTATATGTTTACCTAGGCTTCAGCAAGACACACGTCCCTCTCCTTCGAGTTCATCGAAAGCGCATTTTCCCCCAACCATCCTGTGGTGTTGTGTCCTCGTTTTGAAGAGACGGTCCCCGCGTCCCTCGTATCCTCGCCTCCTCCTCCCCCTCCTCCCCTTCTTCCTGGTTTTCCATGCGTTTCACCCACCCAACACAGCGCCCCGCGGCCCCATAGGGAGCTCCACCGAAGCCCCCAGTGGGACGGCCCGCATGCGTCCGCCACCACCCAGCACAGCCCTTGCTCCCTGCGCTTCACCCACCCAGTACAGCGCTTCGTGGCCCAATAGGGATGTCCACGGAAGGTCCCAGTGGCACCGCTCACATGCGTCCGCCACCACCCAATACGGCCCTTGCTCCCTGCGTTTCACCCACCCCGTACATCGCTTCGTGGCCCCACAGGGAGCTCCACCGAAGGTCTCGCCACCAACCAGCACAAGCGCTGTCGCCCCCAGTCCTCTGGGCTACGAATTCTGAAGGAACCAGGACTCCAGCGGGCCAAATATCCTGAGGTCGGGGGCTGCTTGTGGCGTGACTTGTTCTGGCCCGCGAGGGCCCCCAGACGAGCCAAGAGAGCCCCAACAGGCCCTCTCAAGACGGTCCGAGGGGGCCCCGAGTCGCCGAACGATCGGTCCAAGATGCTCAAGATGGCCTCCAGACGGCCCAAGAGGCTTCCAAGACGCCCCAAGATAGCCTCCAAGACGGCCCTGAACCGCCACAAGAGGAACTCAAGTCAGTTCAGAGAGGCATCCAAGACGGCTTCCGACGTCGTCAGGCGGGCCAGGAACGCCCAAGGCGGCGGCCTCCAACAGGGCCCCCAAACGGTCTAAGAGGGCCCCACGACGGCCTAAGAGGACCCCAAGACGGCACAAGAGGCCCTCAAGACGGCTTCAAACGAGGGCCCAGACGGGGGAGCCGAACGGACAGTTCGCACCCTCGGCCCCAAAAGCAAGATGTGCCCTGTGGGGTCCATTACTGCTCGCTCTGCTCCGTATGCTGTGGAATTACCAATCTCCCTTCTGCGATGTCGGACAGCAGACGTATCGTGTCTTCTCTATTTATGGGCAAGGGCTCCTTGAGAACCCTCTTCGGCTCAATCCCGAAGTGCCTGCAAAGTAAAGTATTGGTCGACACAACTACTCGCTTGAATTGTCGAAGCTGCTGTGTGGCAGGCTTGCGCGTATCCTTTTTCTTCTCCTTGCCCATCGTGTGGCCCTTGAGCCAACGCAGTTCCGGAGATGATCCCCGCGACTGGGGAGTTGCCACACCCGGTCAGCAGCCTCCGCTGCCAGGAGGTAGGGTTGCCCCACACCTCCTGGCCCAAAACGGTGCGACACACTATTCTCATAAACGCTGGCGGGAATCGTGCTCCGCGACACGAAGCTGGAAGCAAAAATAAACGCCCAATGCTTATGAGGACATAGTGTTCTACTGTCGGTCCCCGCGTTGTCCGTTTCGTTTCGGGCATGTCACGCCTTACCCACAGCACAGACATTTGTCTGGCTGCTGCTAGACCTGGACGCCGATGACCTTACGCGGCCAACCTGGACACCCAGCGGGCAGCTTACACAAGGCGCGCACGGCCACCAGCGGCCGCCAACCTTACGCGAGGCCAACGCGGACCAACTGCGGACAGCTTACTGATGCCTGAACGTGCACGCGCGTACACACCACGAGATGCTCCTCCTCGCTCTGGCCGCTTCGCGGGCTGACGGCCACTTTGCTCGTGGTGTCGTTTTGTTGTGTACAGCGTGATTAAAATGCTGTTTGCTGTCAAGTACTGCTCACTGCAGGCCCAGAGCAGTCCGGAACTGCTGCAGAAGCACGAACGGGAGAGACTTCGTGAACCCATCGGTTGTCTGTACCGTGCCCGGCACGTGAAGCATCGTCACCAGTCCGAGGGCACCCTGTTGCCTCAAACCCGTCGCCTTCACGCTGGAATGCCGGGTTCGCCACGGGCTTCCTGCTGCAGCCAGCCTCTTGGCAGCCTCGTTGTCGGTTTTGATATTGACTGAGATCACGTCGATCCCAGTGCCCAGGGGGCCCATGATCTCCCGCAGTCCTGCCGTCAACAGGAATCCATCATGGATCGCTACAAGTTCGGCCTCGCATTCGCTCTGCACGATCAGCCCGGTGCGGGAGGCCCTCCACGCGAGGCTCACCCCACGCCACTGTGCCACCGTCCCGGCGGGGCTGCTGTCGCCAGTCGGTGCAAAAGATGCGTCTATAAGGCAATCGATTCCTCCGCCAGTGCCATCTTGCGGCACAGGCGTGCGCCGGAGCTTCAGGCCAGCGGCGCCGCGGAGGTACCTGAGCAAGTGCTTCGCCTCGCCCACGGCCTCGTCAGGGAAGCGTTGGGAGAGCGTGGCTCCGTGGCCCACCTGGTAAGCCAAGTCTGGGCGAGTCCTGGTAGAGAGCCACAGCAATCCCCCTGGCATCATCTGTGCCTTCTTCCGCGCCTCGCCCACCTCTCCCCCAGCCCGGTGGTCGACCTTGAGCTTCTCCTCACGCGCGAGCTCCGTCTTGTACGAGTCTGGGTCGCCAGTGAGCTTCGCGGGATTCGCTGCGGCCATTCCCCAGCGCTCCAGCAGCTCCTTGATGTACCCCATCTGGTGGCAGTGCAGCACGCCATCGGCAGCCCTCTCCACAGCAACGCCGACGTACTCAAAGGACGCCGCCTCCTTGGGCTTGATGGCCCCAGTCCGCATGCTGTCCCAATTTTTTGAGATAGCCTCGACGACCTCGCTAATGGCCTGGGAGGTCCCTGTGATCAAGAAGTCGCCCACGTAAATCACCATCAAGCCGTCCCGCTTGTTCCCCTGCATGATCTTCCACACGGAATTGTCCGCGCTGGACATTACGAGCCTGATGCCGGATTTGGTTTTCAAACCCCCCAGCACACGATCCCGGGTCTTCCCCCAGAACCGCGGGGCTTCCCTCAGACCATACAGTGGACGACACAACCGCCACACGGTCCCAGCAGGCACCAGCCCGTACTTGACCAATACGGTTGGCACTCGGATGTAGTAATGTAGTACTCGTTGGCGCCTTCAGGAAACTAGGCTCTCAGGAAAGCGGTGACCACGTCCAGCGCCACGATGTCCCAGCCCTCGTGCTCGGCCATGGCTAAGACCATTCTGATGGCGGAGGCGTCCGCGGCATGAGTTGAGAACTCCCCGGAGTACTTGGAGGTGTGATTTCCGCAAGCCACCAACCTCACCTCCTTCTGGTCTTTGTCGAGGTCCTTGCGGCTCTTGATGCCGCAGACGCACTTGGCCGGCAGTATGTCGCTAAGCTTGACGTTATTCAGATCCTTCTCCACGACGGGGCACAAAACGCCCAGCTGCGATGTGCGATCGAGCTCCCGGCGCATCGCCTCCAGCCGCTCCTCGCGCTCACTGCCCTTCGCGGCGTTGACCTCCGCGCCCGTGACCAGCTTCAGGCCGGTCTCGACGATCTCCTTCTCCAGGAACTCGTCAAGCACCTTCAAATCCTCCTCCTGGATTTGGTGGCCCAGCTTGGCTTCCAGAGCGTCCGTCCCGGATTGCTCGTCCAACAGGTTCGCGTCTGCCTCCTCTTGGATCAGGTCGCCTAGCTCTGCCGCCACGTCAGGCGGGATGGCCGGGATAATCGAAGACACTGCGCCCCAGATGATCTCCACCAGCTCCTCCGGGTAGTCTGCCGTCGCTGCAGTGTCGGACCTTTCCCCCTTCCCGTGGTCGTGGCCCTTGTCGCAGACCTTCTTGCCCAACGTTTCCGCCAATGCCTGAAGAGTAGCTGCAATCTTCCAAGGTTTCTTGTTCACCAGGCCCACCATGCAGCCGTCGAACTCCACCACGGTCACGCCCGGCTTTCCAACGAACTCGTCAACCCAGGCGCAGGCCCAGCCAGAGCCATACCCAGGCCAGTCGAAAACAGAATGGGCGCCAGCAGCAAGCAAAATGTTGTTCTGCTTGTGGAACACCTCCTGCAGACATAACGAAGCCTCACGGCCGGCCAAAATCTTCTCTGGATTCTTCCCGTGCGCCAGCGTGAGGTCCGCCCAGCGCGTCCACGGCGATTACGGTAGAGACCACCACACCAACACCGTGCCTCCAGCAGCCGCATGCGCAGCATCGTCTGAGAAGACATTCTGCGCGGCCTCCGAGTCCAAGGAAATACCCTTCATGAAGTTCGTGATCTTCCAGCCGGTGCTGCCGAACTTCACCGTCAACTTCGGCACCTCCGAAAACGTCACCTCGAGAAGCCAAGGTTGAAGAGGCACGGGTTCGCGCACTCGTCCGGCATCATGCTCGCGGTACGTACCCATGTCGATCTCCTCCTCCTCCTCCTCCCTGATCTTCTCCTCCTGGTACTCGTTATCTTCCTGGTCCCTGATCTCCTCCTGGTCCCTGACCTCCTCCTGGTCCCTGACTTCCTCCTGGCCCCTGATCTCCTCCTGGTCCCTGACCTCCTCCTGGTCCCTGACCTCCTCCTGGTCCGTGACCTCCTCCTGGTCCCTGACCTCCTCCTGGCCCCTGATCTCCTCCTGGTCCCTGATCTTGCCCCCCTGGCCCCTGATTTCCTCCTGGCACTCGTTATGCTCCTCCTCCTCCTCCTCCTCGACGTCGTCGTCCACTTCCTGAAACCAGGCGTCTTCCAGGTCCAGGTCTGCCTCCTCCGCCTCGTCTGGGGCCTGCCGGCACTCTCCGAGGATCCTGGTGCGCGGGGCAAAACGCCCCCGGCATGCCGGGTACTGGAACCCGTCCTCCTCCACCTCCGCGGCCTCCACGGGGTAGCCGGGCAGTTTCGAGTCGTCGGCGCTGATGGCGTGGAACGTGCCGTTGCTCTCGACCTTGCCCGCGGGGTGCTCGACGTAGGCCGCGAACCTCCCGTTGCCGAGGGGAATACTAGAGTCAACTCCAAGGAATCGCCCCACGCACCCCCGCGACGCGAAGTCGCCCCGGGGCCTCTGGCGAGTCATCGCCGCCACAAGCGATCCAAAAACGGGCCCCTCCGGAGATATCTTCCTGTTCTGGTCCCGGTACCTCGCCAGGATGGCCGCGTACGTTGCAGCGCATCCCCACCACGTCGAGGAGAGACGAGCGTCAAGGAGTAACCTGCGTGCAGAATCCTTCGGGATGCCGATGCCCCTCTCGGCTCGGGCACTGGAGTCAGGGTCATACCCCGGACCTGTCGTGCAATGCAGCTTCCTCTCTTTCGCCGCAGCACGCACAATCTGAGCCAAGAACTCCTTCCCCAGGTCGGAGTGCATAGACCAAACCGCCTGCGTCCGGAAGGAATGGTTAATCTCGTCGATGATGTCTTTGATGGCCACCGCGGTCTCTGCGGCCGCCTTGCTTGTCAATGCCCGGACGTAGACCCAGGTCTTCGGCTTCCCGTCCTGGTCCGCCACTCCCACTTCGGGTTCTCCGGCTGGTGCCTGTTGTGCTCCGCGGTCACGTGCTTCGTCGTGCTCTCGTGGAGCTCCGTGAACAGGTGCTTCGCCCTGTGCTCGTTGAAGTCCGCCCTGAGGTACTTCGCCCTGTCTGGGGGGCTGGAGGGCCCGCTGCATCACCCAGCGCCCCTTCGCCATTGCTCCGTCCAGGGCAGCAGCTCGCTCCTCATCTCGAAGAGGCGTGTAGGCCGCAACCAGGATGCACCGCCCCCTTGGGGCCGCAGATCTGCCCCCTTGGTTTGCGACAGCACGCGCGCGGCCCGGAAAGGTCGACACTCAGCTCACCGCCGCAACTCGCAAGTGGGTTGAGACGAGTGCGAGGCCAACGTCGAGTCGAAGCCACTGCGCAGACAGGACAGTCTGATCGTTTCGGCAAGTGTCCACACCGGCGGCGCTCGAGCATATCATCCTGGTCGTGGACGCGCTCTTCTGGTGGTCCGTCTCCTGCTCCCTTCTGGTCAGCGGCAGCCTCTTTGACCTCCTCGGCCCTCACCTGCGGCCGACCAACCGAAGTCTCCGAACAGAGATCGCTCAGGACCTTCACGACAGACTTGGAGACGTAGAGCTCTTCGTTCCAGACGCGCACCTCGATCTTCCTGCCGTCGGGCAACACCAGCTCGGCAGAGTCGTGGTTCCACTTGAACTTGCACCCATGGCTTATCAACCTTCCCAGGGGCACCAGTGTGCTCACGGCCGCGCTAGATGTCACTATGACTTCATGGCCCAATGTCCACGCCTTGACCGATCCCACGGCCAACTTGAGCTGGACTTCCCAGGCCCCTCTCGGAATGCGCTCGCCCTTCCAGAGTTTCCCCTCAGCAGCACCCACTCCACCCCCAGCTGTCGTGCTCGTTGGATGGCCTTCGCATGGACGGAGGCCTTGCCTGCTTGTGGCCCGGCCAGCGTCTCCCTGTCGTTATTGTTGCCTTTCTGGCTCTTCGGTCTGGCGCACTGCTTCCAGGAGTGCTCCTTCGAGCCGCAGTTCGAGCACAATCCTGGCTTCTTGTCGCGCAGGAACTTGTACTCCGCTCCCTTCATGCATCCGGACGGTTTCGTCCAGAATCGGCACGGGTTAGGAGTCTTTGTGCTTCCCGGCTTCCCTGGCTGTCCTGCCTGGGCCGGCTGTTCCTGCCGGCACGCCTTAAGACAATCCTTCTTCAAATGCCCCAGCTCACCACACTGGAAGCACTTCCTGTTCTTCTCATCCCCAGAGTCCGCCAGGTTGGCGCTGCAGCTCCCGCCGAGGTCGGTGACGTCGCGGTTCCGCATCTCAGACCAGAGGTACGCCACGAACTGCTCTACCTTGTCGTGGCTCGTCTCCTGGGGCAAGTTCTTCTCGTGCAGGTAGACTTGCAGTCGGTAGTCCAGCTGCCTGTTCCTCTCCACCATGCGGGCTACTGATCCCTTCACTGCTTGCAACATGTCCTGGCTATCTTGCATCTCGAGGCCCATCTTCTTGGCGCGCCGCATGTGCCCGCTCCAGGTCTCGAGGATGTGCATGGCTTCCCGGTGGGATCCAGCCACGCGCAGCGCTGTGAGATTCTGCTTCAAGGCGCTGCGGTCTTCGAGGGGCCCAGGCACCGCGTCGACCATGGTCTCCAGCAGTATCTCCGCGCAAGACAGAGTTCCGCGCATGATCAACCCTCGCCGGAGAGCCTCTGGAAGAGCCTGGACCAGCAGCGGCCTGAGGCGTCGCTCAAGTTCAACACATGGTACATCTTCAGGCCGCTCCACTCTCACAGCGCTTCGCTGCAGGTAGGGAGTCGCCAGATGGCGCTTGGACGCCTCCTCAACTTTCTCCCATATGCCAGTCCAGCAAGTCACTCCTGCAGGCCCCAGCGATTCAACCTGCAGAGCTACGAGATCCTTCCAGGTGGCGAAGAGCTCCGCTCGCGACCTCCGGCCCGTGTACTCCAGCTTGGACAGCTGCAGGCTCTTCATGGCATCCCATGCTGCGCGTACCGCGTCAAACTGCGTGGGGCCGCGTCCGTCGGCAACCGCGGCAGGTGAGAAACCAAACCGGTTGGGACCATCGTCCGCGAACAGTGGACGGGCCTCACCTGGAGGAGGTCGCTGCCCTGCCTGGTCGTCTCGGTCCAAAGAGAAACTCAGAAGGGTCATCCCAGAACCTGCGGGCTGAGTAATCAATGGAGGCGCCCCGCGACCCTCCAAGGTCTTGATGCGGTGCTCGAACTCCTCCATCTGCTCGCTCATCCCCTGCAGCATGTCCTGGAAAGTTAGCAAGCTCGCCTGGGTCTGCCAAAGCTGCTCCGCGAGATCTTCCGTTGCAGACCCCGCACGGCTCTCCCTTTCCTCTGCTGGTCCTGTCTGGCTCCCCTCTGGTGCCGGGGACTCTGCTGCGTTGGACGCCGCGCCCTGCCCAGCGCCAGTGCCCACAGAGTGCGCCTCCCGGAACTCGTCGTCCCCGGAGCTGGTCCCAGCCAGTCCGGCTTCCGGTGAAGACCAGGTGGTTGCGGACCGCCTGCCCCTTCGACCGGCGCGGGCCGCCGCGCCAAGCCCCACGCAGCGACTGCTCCTTGCCGCGCGCCGCTGGCCAGCGCTCCCAAGCCCCGGACAGAGAGGGATCCAGCAGCTCCAAGGACTGCTCCGCCCGCTGTTGCCGCGGTCTCGAGGTAGTCGCCCGTGGCCGCAGCAAACCGCCTGGTCTCAAACTCCCGGCGTCGCTGTCGCTGCGCACGCGCCTGTTGGAGTTGGCCCAGCAGCCACTCCTGTCGCGCCATCTGCGCCGCGCCGTACTGGTACCGCATCTGGTCGTAGCACCTGGTGCAGAGGACGCTGCCCGACGCCTGGTACGAGCAGCTCCAGTGGACGTGGCCGCCGCACCAGTCGCACGCACCCTGCGGCCCCGGGTCGTTGCAGAGCTGGCAAAACCTCATTGAGATCGGCTGCAGCGTGAGGTTGGGCTCATAACCCAAGATGTACCCTGTGGGGTCCATTACTGCTCGCTCTGCTCCGTATGCTGTGGAATTACCAATCTCCCTTCTGCGATGTCGGACAGCAGACGTATCGTGTCTTCTCTACTTCTGGGCAAGGGCTCCTTGAGAACCCTCTTCGGCTCAATCCCGAAGTACTTACAAAGTAAAGTATTGGTCGACACAATTACTCGCTTGAATTGTCGAAGCTGCTGTGTGGCAGGCTTGCGCGTATCCTTTTTCTTCTCCTTGCCCATCGTGTGGGCCTTGAGCCAACACAGTTCCGGAGATGATCCCTGCGACCGGGGAGTTGCCACACCCGGTCAGCAGCCTCCGCTGCCAGTAGGTGGGGTTGCCCCACACCTCCTGGCCCAAAACGATGCGACACACTATTCTCATAAACGCTGGCGGGAATCGTGCTCCGCGACACGAAGCTGGAAGCAAAAATTCGCCGGCCCAACGGGCCAGAGGCGTGCTAAGATCTTCGGTAACTTGTTAACAATATTTAATCGCTTCGCTCATGCCGCCGGCCCTGGAGCCCTCTTTAGGGCCTCTTGGGGGCCTCTTGGGGACCTCTTGGGAGTCTCTTGGGGCTCCTTGGCGGCGTTTTGGAGGCCCCCAGGGCCTCTTGGGGGGCTCTTGGGGGTAGTCGATTGCGGCTCCCCCCTCGGAGGCCACGATCCTCGTGAGGGGTGTCGAAAAATACCCTCCCCTGGAGTGGTCTGGTGGCTTCTCCCGGGCTTCTCTCGGGACCTTGCCGGGGTACTTTTCGTCCGGGGGCCCCCAGGGGCCGCTCCGCGCGCGCGAACTAGAAATATTGTTAACAAGTTACCGGAGATCTTAGCACGCCTCTGGCCCGTTGGGCCGGCGAATTTCTAGTTCGCGCGCGCGGAGCGGCCCCTGGGGGCCCCCGGACGAAAAGTACCCCGGCAAGGTCCCGAGAGAAGCCCGGGAGAAGCCACCAGACCACTCCAGGGGAGGGTATTTTTCGACACCCCTCACGAGGATCGTGGCCTCCGAGGGGGGAGCCGCAATCGACTACCCCCAAGAGCCCCCCAAGAGGCCCTGGGGGCCTCCAAAACGCCGCCAAGGAGCCCCAAGAGACTCCCAAGAGGTCCCCAAGAGGCCCTAAAGAGGGCTCCAGGGCCGGCGGCATGAGCGAAGCGATTAAATAAATGCCCAATGTTTATGAGGACATCTTGTTCTACTGCTGGTCCCCGCGTTGTCCGTTTCGTCTCGGGCATGCCACGCCCTACCCACAGCACAGACATTTGTCTGGCTGCTGCTAGACCTGGACGCCGATGACCTTACGAGGCCAACCCGGACACCCAGCGGGCAGCTTACACAAGGCGCGCACGGCCACCAGCGGCCGCCAACCTGACGCGAGGCCAACGCGGACCGCCTGCGGACAGCTTACTGATGCCTGAGCGTGCACGCGCGTACACACCACGAGATGAAAAGCCACCAGGAGGCCCCAAGAGGCGCGCAAGAGACCCCAAGAGGCCCCCAAGACGCCCCCAGGAGGCCCCAACAGGCTTCAAAGAGGCCCCTTAGAGGCTCCCAAGAAAGAGGCTCCAAAAAGCCATCAAAACTGCTCCCCAGAGGCTCCCGAGAACGCTTCTAAAAGCCCGCAGGAAGAATCCATGAGGACTCTGACCCGCAACTGAGGCACGGTGGCGGGATGGGCCGAAGGCCATCAGATCCGCCGCTTCCTGCTGGCTTGCCACAGGGGTGCCTGGCGTGCTAGATCCTTTCGGTCTTGGTTTTGGCTCCTTTCCCAAACAATTCCCCCGCCGCTGCGCAAGCGACGTCTCCAAGACGGCCTCGATGGCCTCCAAGACTGCCAAGATGGCCCAAGATGGCCTCCACGTTTGCCCAAGACGGTCCAGGATGGCCTCCAAGACGGTCAAAGAGGGTCCCAAATGCCTACAAGTCCGCCCAAGAAGCCACCCAGACGGCCCACTATGTTTGCAAAAGGCCCCCAAGAGGCCTCCAAGACTGCCAAAGAGGCCGCTCAGAGCTCCTCCAGGAGGGCCCGAAGAGTCCAAAATGTGTGTCGCCCCAAGACGGCTGCAAAGGCTTCCAGGAGGACCTCATGACGGTCAAGATGGCCTCCAAGACGGCCCAAAAGCTTCCAAGATGGCCTCCATGACAGCCCAAGAGGGTCCACGATACCTCCAAGTCCGCCCAAGAGGCCTGATAACCCAAGATGGCCCAATACACCCCCAGAAGACCTCCAAGACTGCCCAAGAGGCCTCCAAGAGTTTTTGTAGGAGGGCCCGAAGAGACCAAAATCATGGATTCCCCTAGGGAAATATAAAAATGTTTACAGTTGCCTTCCGACTGCCCGAGACGGCCCACCAGCCCACCAAGATTGCCCCCAGAGCGCCCCAGAAGCCTTCAAGATGGCCTCAACACGGCCCAAGATGGCCCCAAGACGGCCCGATAGGCCTGCAAGACGCCCAAGATTGCCTCCAAGACGGCCCTGAAGCGCCACAAGAGGAACTCAAGTCAGTTCAGAGAGGCATCCAAGCGGCTTCCGACGGCGTCAGACGGGCCAGGAACGCCCGAAGACGGCCAAAGCGGACCCGAACAATCCACCAAAGGCTCCCGAGAGAACCAAGGAGGCCTCCAAGAGGCCCCCGGGAAGCTCCCAGGAGACCACATGAGTGCCCCAAGAGGCTTCCAAGAGGCGTCCTTTTCCTTCTTCTCCTCCTTCTACTCCTCTTCTTCCTCCTCCTCCTCCTCCTCCTCCTCCTCCTCCTCCTCCTCCTCGTCCTACTCCCGTTGCTGCCATTCCCTCATTCTCCTCTTCCTCATGTGTTCTCCGAAAGGTTTCAACGACAGCTAGGGGAACACATGGTCCGATAACTCTAGCCCAGCGTTCGGCCACATAGGCGTTTTCAGAAAGGCAGGGAGGCGGCGGTGATTCGCCGCAGGCGTCTTCGACTACGAGGACATACAAGGTTCCCATGGTTTGCTACCGAAGAATCCCCCCCTCTCCGCACCCCCGGTGAAGGTGGGGGAATGGAGGAGTACACGCGCACAACCCTCGGACGTCCGCGAACGGTTCCTTCCGCCGGCCTCTGCGTGAGCTGCCCGCGGAGGTCGCGTGGCGGAGGCGGAAGAGGAGGAGCAGCAGCGAGCGGAAGGAG